CGCCACTGTGTACACATTACACACATGCCTCTGAGATTACATACTAGCTCATGCAAACTCTATGCAGGCCCCGGAGTTCCCACGTTAATCCTTAAGAAACCAAGCCGGCATACGGCGTCACCACCGGGCTTCTGAGGTGCACAGCACCAACCCATGAGGTCTTACTTTAGTGTCTTAGAGCCAATCTCCTTTAGCAGGGCCCACCAACCACTGCCGAAGAGGGTCTCATGCCAGCCATTGCTGGGCCTACGAGAGCCTCAAGTAAACCCACGCTGATATTCCATATAAGATCCGGCCATACTCGTGAACCGGTGCCAGCGACGCTGACCGCCAAATTGACAGAATGCGAAACTGAGCCCACTCATGAGTGAAATTTACGTCCTTTGATGGCGCAAGAAAGAAAATGAAACATACGAAAAGCTTTTCTAGGACTTTTGTTCGATCTGAAAGGTGGGGCCAAAAGATAGTATGGCCCCACCTTTCAGCACCAAAGGGGGGGGGGGCATGGCCCCCGTGGCCCCCCCCCTGGGACCGCCAGTGACGAGCATATTGAAAGGTTGTGTTGTGTGCCATACACAATGAGTTTGGTGTATGGCGTAGGCATTCAACGTACTGTCACATACCATGATTTGGCGACCATAACATTCTGATCCCATCAATCACATGTTCATCCGGTTTACACCTGCCAGTGTCGGAATAGTGCGACTATCTCAGTCAGCGCATTTGGCACTGACCCACTGCCCGGCAGTCGGGAGGGCCCCGCGGTATGTGCCGAGCTCACCAGTCCTCCCAAACCACACACCGAGCAAAGGCCACGCGGATATATCTACCGTGTCAAACACACGGACAAGATACGAAATCCAATTAGTGGAACAATGAGTTTATTGTGTAAGTAAGCTAATTCACCGAGTGACAAATCACAAAAAGCAGCACACACGGTTTTGTAGTGTTTAGCGCTGATATCTTTTTCAGTTATTCCATCCAGCAGTTCCCTCTAACAACATATGAGTTCCCCATATCCAACCCTTCATATATCAAGTCCCCAGCTTTTCTGCTTAAGAAACTAGCTCCTGTGTCTCGCTACCCTTCTGTCATACACTGAGTCCAACGACCCCGCACGGACCCGGCCGTCCTATCTCAGTCGAACCGTAACCCGCCATTCACCGTCCACTCACCAGAAAAGAGGCCAGGACGACCACCCAGCCGTACCCTCCGTCCGGCTTCTCGCGGGTCATCTGCCCGCCGTCAGTGGAGGGTTTCTGCGGCGACGGGCTGTCATAGCTCGGCACCGGCTGCAGATGCTGCTCCGCCATATCTGAAATAGGAACACAGAAATACGGGGCAGTCAATACCGGCTGCAGATGCTGCTCCGCCATATCTGAAATAGGAACACAGAAATACAGGGCAGTCAATACCGGCTGCAGATGCTGCTCCGCCATATCTGAAACATACACATGGACAGTCAGTAATGGCCGTAATCTGCAGATGCTGCTCCGCCATATCTGAAACAGACACATGGACAGTCAGTAATGGCCGTAATCTGCAGATGCTGCTCCGCCATATCTGAAACAGACACATGGACAGTCAGTAATGGCCGTAATCTGCAGATGCTGCTCCGCCATATCTGAAATAGGAACACATAAATACAGGGATAGTCAATACCGGCTGCGGATGCTGCTCCGCCAAGCCTGTAGTATGTAGACACAGGAACAAACCGACAGTTAAAACACATGCGTCGTGCAATGTCTGAGAAGAAAACAGTCCTCGAGATAAACGAAAAGAGGTGCGGTAAACTTTACGCGTCCTAAATCGCTTGCTACATTGGCGCACCACTATCTGCCCTTGCCAAAAAAGCATGGGAAATACATTTACTAGAGCGCTGTTCGCACAGGATCGTAAGAATGCCAAGATTTCCAACACCTCCCGAGTCGCCGCTACCACGATAGGGACTCTGTACTCTGTACCCATGTCTGGGCTGCCGGCGGACGGCTCGGGAGCCGGAGCGAGCCTGCTGACCGGTGCTCGGTGCTGCGAGTGCCGCCTGGACAGGTCCGTCCGCAGTTGACCCCTCGGACCGCCACCCGACCCCTCGTTAGCCCCCTACCACGCCCCGTTCTCCAGCCGCTCCGCCCACTCATCCATAGGACACCGTCAGCAGCGGCCTTAGCAACAGCAGACACAGCAATAACCGGACCGAACCGGCTCGGTCCGGACGGCCGTGCACGGTTGGCTAAGGCGTCCAAGGCATAACTAGACAACACAAAGAACAGAACGGCCTGGCTGAGACGAGCAATTCTCAGAAATGACGACACGCGGCGGCCGGGGTGAGCCAAAGTGGCAGTAATGGCCGCCCACCGGGCTCGGGTTAATGCCAGCGGTGGGTGTCTGGGCAGCAGGGTTCCCTTCCAGCAGCGCGGGCGGCAGGAGCACACGTGAGACGAGGAAGGTGAAGGTGCCAAGTGGGACAACAACCTCTAGCTGTCTGGGCGCTCCGGGTTCGGTACAAAAGGTGGCTCGTGACCATATAAACGGTCCAAGTTTTTGTGGAACTCGTAGTAGCCACCTGTAGGGCAAGAACGATGTCAGCGCTAGAACCTAATGAAGCCATGTATTTCCAATAAGTTCCAAAGTAAGCAGAGTTTTTCCTGGACGGACGGACGGACAAAGATAGGCGCCTCTCTCTGTGTGTGGCGGACACACAGGGAGACCGCTCGATAGCGGAGGCCGGCGCTGCGCGGCCGCGGCACCTCCGGCCGCGCCGGGCTCGCCTCGCATCGACCGACCATCGCCACCGACGGCCGCCGACGCCGACGAAACCGGATTGAACCGGCTCGCGCCGGCCGCCACCGGATCGGGCCGGGCCTGGCCGACTTGGCTGGCGGCCGCAGCTTTGAAACGGATGACGGGCGGGCGCTGCGGGGTCAGGGGACATGCAGGGGTACGGGGAGCTCATGCAGCTCCATAGCTGGCGCAGATCGACCCGGGGCACGGAGTCAACGTCCGGGAGGGGACCTATATAAAGAGTACACATGGGGAGCCTAGGATTACGGGCAATCCAACATGGCAGCCAGACGAAGCAAAATAGATTATCGACATGTCCGAGTCGATATGTAACTAGTCATGGTGATGTGGCACAAATTTGTTCAGAATGGGTTCTAGCCGTGCATTGCGTTATGAAATGAGGACCCCGAACATGTGAGTCATGCGTAGTTCGCAGATGCCTTGTGAGTAAAAGGATTGGTATGGGGGGGGGGGGGGGGCACATTGTTGAGGCAGTGGGCAGCACCACGGTTTTGCCATCACGGAGCTTCTAAAATGAGTAACTGAAAGTGTCTGTCATTAGATCGCTTACCGTTGATGGATTTGGAACACAATCAGATGGCAACAACTGTGCCCTCTGATGTCGAGTCTAGTCGTGGAACGAGTATTTTGGCAAACGCTCGCTGCTCTGATCGACTGTTGAAATATTATATCGGATGGACAATATTTTACAAGGTAGACACAGGTTTTCAGAAAAACCTTCAAGTTCCCTTTGTTTAGGCATCCCAAAATGGATACAAACGTATTACGTAGCATTGGGGCATTTGCCACGTCTACGAGATCCATATATCGACAGCCGCTCAGATAGCTTTCTTTACATAGATCACCGATTAATGCTACCAAAACTGGCCTCAGAGCACAAAATAATGTAAAGGTATAATGAGGTCAAGTCTACGCTTTGCTGTTTTGCGTGGGTCGTGACCAGCCTCTGAAATCAATACATGATTAGATGATTCAGGTGTTCCAAATACCATGGATACCATAACAGTCGTATGATTAGCCCCTCCCTCGGCATCCCTGGCTCACGTGACAGAGTAGTGGCTGGCCGAGTTGTAATTACCCGTAATAGATGAGCACCCCGCACGGGAGGGCCGGGTCATGGAGAGCCGTTTAATCGGCTTTTATATTAGTACATACGGTACATACCCTGGCTATTATAACGTTGCAGCTAATTTCAAGGTTATCTTTATAACTGTGCTTATCTATTTCCGGAGAAATAACAGGACAGGGTTGCTTCCCTGGATCCTCCCCTATTACGAATAAGGCCGTTACCAATCAAACAAAAGATCGGTTTGCAAGAAAAAAACGGCTATAGGGAAACTGGGAAGCTCGGGAAGCATGGTGAACACACGTGATTGATATCTGGAATTATCTGAAAACCAAAGACAAAAGATATTCCTGAGTGAATCTGTAAAAGGCACGACACACGTCAAAATAAAAGGTAAATACTGACATTCGTCAAAGGTAAAAACAAAGGAAACGTACAATGAGGACGCACTGCTGTTATATGTAGCGGCACCAGATACGAACATCCCCTTCACTTCGAATCATTCATATACGAGTCTCATTTTGCCGTGAATACTCCCAGCACACATCATTCTCATCATACTGACTTTCAGCCAGGCGAACCATTGAAGGTTCGTGGCCGCCTCGGCAGACGGGAGCGGCTTCACTAACCTGGCGATCCCCTCCTCAGCCGGCGCATAAGGCACTGCTTGAGCGTTTCCATGACGCGGCTGGCCATCGGTGCCGTCGTCGCGCTGCCGGGACGCCGCGCGGTCGTCGGTGACGGGGTCGGAGCGCCACTGGCCTGGCCGACGCGTCCGACCGCCCACCACGACAACGCCATCGGCGTTTTGCGCGCGCGCGCGCGCAGCTCGAGCCCGGCGACGTCGATTCGATCGCCAAACTCGGGGTGAACGGATACAGCCTGTAACACAACCAACAGGTGTAACGACGGCTACACACGCGTACCTATTACCGGGGCTGGGCAATTACAGCTCGCTTTTAACAGGTGTCTGCGGCATGCACATTGGGAGGCAAGGAATCCCTTCCATTTCGTGCTCTCTTTTTGTGGGATTCTGTGAAGACTACTGCATATCAATACTGACAGCGCGCGCCTAGTGACTTCTTAACTTAAATTTGGCGCAATATGCACACGAAATATTACACTCACTGACGGCTTTCGCGGAATAAGCTCATTTGCACGACACAATTAACATGCAATGAATATAAATCAACGAAGTGCCGTAGTACTATTGTCACGCCCTACTTATTTTTCAAGCGCAACTTCTGAAGAAAGGTAACTTGCCACCTCAAGCTATAACACACGAGTAAAAAGCGTATATTTTATTGAGTACACAGAGCTAATATCTTGTAAGATACCGATCTGCCATCGTTCAAAACAGAAATATTGATAATGTAGGAATAAGCTCGCAATGAAGGTTCGAGTTCCTTAAAACAATTGATTACAAATTTAATTTCGAATGCGTAAACTGCAGAAGCTTTCTACGCCAGAAAGTCGCATAGAAGAATGCTTTTGCAATGATGGGGGAAATGAGACAGAAGTATGATACTAGCAGGAATCACTGGAGAGATCTGCTGGTTTCTTAGAACTCACTTTCCATTCATCAATAGCTTGACCCGTGATGGGCCCGAGTATTTGCTGTACAAGATGCTTGAAGCGCCGCCTCGACCGTTCGTCGTCCGAGATGATGGGAAGTGGGAACTTCGGTACAGGAAAACATGGTGAGGCAGAAATATTTCAGATACATCATACAAATACAAATATACCTTTGCAACAAAATTAACACATATAAGCACTTGCATGGACTCAGTACACATTTAATCACGTAGTAATATCATTACCGTTTCAAGTTTTAGGTATTTTACGCTGCTCGCATGTTCATGAGGCACTAGCTTAATGACGATTTGTGTAGCTTTATGATCCACTAGATACCAAAATAAGCCCAGGTACCGAGCGATTCCCACAGTCATTGGACATTGCCATGGGAGCATCGTGTGACAAATGTACGGTACGGGTCACACGTCGTAGTAATAAGGTCCACCAAACAACACCGATCGTTTACTTTTGTTGTCAGGTCACCGATTGTTCTTTTGTTTGTCAGGTTGTATACGTACATAATTGGACTGGCGATCGTGGTTCCCATTCTGGTGGACGTCGTGCTGAAGCACGGATCATTGAACTTCACCGTCATCCTATCGGTCTCGGCCGTAGTGCTGGCGTGGAAGACCTATGTACATTATCCATTGCACATCATCATCATTGATAAGGTAAGGTGGAAAATGGACAAAAACGTTCGACTGTTTCGGCTAACAGCATATTTAAACGCTACATTTCATTATTTTTAATCATCGGCTGCCACGCTAGCGGCATACCTTTCATGCAGAAAATATTAGTAACGCTCGGCAATAAAATGGCCCACCTTTTTCCACAGAGAAAGAATGTGTATGAATATCACAAGAGGGGTCGGCTGATCACTACGGAGCCGCTGTACAACATGTACATCAGGCTAATTGGACAAAAGTGCTACCCGAGCCCCGGCGGGTCCAAGTCGTCAAACTGGTTCTTCTACCTGTGCCTCAAAGGGTGAGCATTGAGCATTTGGGAGGAGTCAAACGCTTTAAGAAAACACTGTTCCATTTAGGGCGATAAGGTGGCATGGGCATGTTCAAGGGAGGCAGGACTTAAAACGTAGTTGATTCTCCGAAAATGCTTGCTGCCACGCTAAATCATGTTACTAAGTAACAATTCGGTACGATATTTTGTCCATGCTCACTGCTCAGCAAGAAATCAGGCCCACAACACAAGCATGTGCCGTGTCCGATTTCTATTTGGCACATTTCTTTCAGGGTCGGCCTGGAGGAGTTTAAGCTGAGCCCACACACCGAGTACGAGGACAGGATGAGAAAACTCGGAAAACGGCTCTCACGAAAGCTCGGCATCAACTACTTCGATTTCATTGATGAATCGGTGAGTGACACTACGACTCATTCAGTGACGAGTTCGAGTTTGACTAGCGCGCATTACTTGTTTTGAATATTTTGTCATTAACTCATTAGTCGGTGAAGAGTAGTTTGGATGACTGGCCCGTTGACCTCCATTTCGCTGCGTTGCTGGGTTGTCCAGGACCATGACTTTATCTGATGCAGCTTTATGACGGACCACGTCAGACAAAACCGAGCAGACCGCAAGGATCATGCCATATATCTTCAGAGCATCTTCATAAGCCGTTAGCATCCGGCTGGCCCAAACAAACACGGGTACAGCCGCTAATGTTCAGTACCACTGTATGACCCTGTCCCGCGCCGGACGCTCATCGCCCCCTCCCCCGCCGTGTTAATCTAGCCCCTGACATCTCTCGCTGTTACAGCCGCTCCATGACGTCAGACACCGGCCCGTGCAGATCTCCATCCCCACCTGGGCGCCGGCGTGACGTCACAGTGTGACGTCATACCCCACTGGTCGGCCGGCGCCGCCAGCGTGGTACCCTCAGCGCCGGGCGATCGACTTTTGTATCTGTGTATATGCTGCGATGAAAGCCTGCCTATTTAGGAAACCTCGAGCGGATCAATAAACTGTGTCAGTGCTATAGACTCTCAAACCCAAAAATGTTATGTATAGATACTAGATATTTTCTCTTTTCATATTTTTCCCTTCGAACACTTCTAGATTTATGTTACGTTTATTCCAGCCTTCCCTGAGATCTAATTCGCGTTACTTTCCACAAAACACGATCAAATCATCAAACAACATAAACTTTCGCGAGTGCCACAAATACGTGTTCGAAAGTCTCTCCTATATTCCTCTCTGCTCCTGTTACTGAGTTCCACCAATAGCTCTCCGGTCTCCACACAGTGTTGGTGCCACTGCAGTCCACACTGAGACAAACCAACAGCGGCCGTCGGACAATGCAATATCAACTGGCAAACAGTACACCGCGTACACTTCGGACATTCGGGCGATGTCTTCGCAAACGTATCAGATAATAAACACTGGCAGGACACTGGACAGGCACACTGACTCGAATCACACACGGGCCGCGGTGCTAAAACGTCACCTGGACCCATCATTATACTCAGCACCCGCCCTCCCTATCGGCCCACACAGGTCACAGACAAAGCAGCGCACAGCCAACCGCGCGAAGTATAAAGCTTTTGACGAGGACAGGCACGTACATCATATCATCTCAGCCGGTCGGTTCACGGGCGAGTCACGGTATCACCGTATATAAGTAGCAGCCGGGGCGGCGGCCCTGCACCGCATGGACTCACCGTGCTCGGTGGCGCGCCCTACACCGGTCTCCGACGCCGCCCGCCGCGGCGCGGCTTTGTGACACCCACCGGCCCGTGGCGCACGTGTCACGCGTGTCACGCGTGGCGCGCTGCGGAGCTGGGCGCTCAGATGTCGCTCCACACCGTGATGCGTTTCGCCTTGTCGGAGCTGACCAGGCAGGATCCCTCCGGGTGCCAGGCAGTGGCGAGCACACACGACCTGACGGAGTGGCGGACGGTCAGAATAGAGTCAGGGGAGGCGGTGCGGTACATACCCTCCTCTGAGTGGTGAGACTTGCCACAGATAGATAGATAGTGTCAATTAATGTACCTGTAACACAACTGGACTGCATCAGCTGCTGTGATTCTGAGCATTATAACGTAGCATCGGAAATACTCAGGGATGAGTACCAGGCAGCAAATCATAAAATATGAGTGAACGAAGAAAATATCACAGGAAGGGTTATCGATACCATGTTCTCAAAAGAGAAGAGTGCTACACGCCCCTGTTCCACACACCACAGCCACATCTAAATTACTGAGCCCACAGTCCCCGGACAGCCGCTGCGACTCACGGCGGGCTGGAGACGGCCGGCAGGTGCTTCTCCAGTCGCCGCGAGCTCTCGTTCCAGATGAAGAGGTCGCCGGTGCCGCTCCCGGCCGCCACGTACTTGCAGTCGGGGCTGAACACGGCCCGCGAGTAGTCGCACGCCACGTGAAAACCGTCCGCCCTGTGAGGGAGCGCGCACAGAGGTGGTCACATTGGGGTCACAGGTACTCGAGGAGACGAACCAAGGTGACGAGAGGCAGATGGAAGGTGGCGCTGGAGCAAATATAGTCTGAAACCGAACGTTAACTAGAAACCATGAAGTACGGAGAGCAGTCCCAAAAGGACTCAATACAAAATGAAATAGAAATGGTGAAATCGGTGACTTACTCGTAGTTTCTGGCGACGGTCATTGTCCTGAGGTCGACCACCTTCAGCGTGTCTGCCCGGGTGCAGCAGAGCACCCGAAACTCTGCCGACGAACAGAGAACGGTGCATGTTAGCGAGGTCTTGGTTCACAAATATTCGACAGGGCACCATGCGCGAGCTACAGATGGCAGCCTAACAAACATAAGTATACAAGCATTTGGGGAGGCCCGTAAGCCGAATATCATGCAAGAATTAAGAATCAAGGTCTAGCGAACAAAGATGTTACCAAGAAATGACAATCTTTAAGCCAAAGTACGCCCTCTGGTCCGCCGGCTCCACCCTCCCGCCGTGTCTCCGTCCCACCACCAGGCGGCGGTGAGGAGCGCCGCGCTGGTGCCGTACGGTACGGTGCGGCGGTACGGTACTGACCGGTGCCCTGCGCCAGAGAGGTCACGTGGCCGTCCACCTTGATGACGTGTTTCGGCTCCCGGCTGTCACGTGTGTCCCACACCTTGATGGTGCTGTCGTAGTGGCCCGACAGCAGGTTGGTGGCGCCCACGCCGTCCACGATGTCGAAACATATGCTGTTGGCGAAGATGTTCATCACGCCTGCCGGAAGAAAAAAAAAAGACCAACGTTGAGGCTCCTTGTGTTTGAATGATGAAACGCTAGGTCAAAATACGGGTTTGACAATCAATAGCTGCTCCGGCGGTAAGTCACCGAACTCCGCCATTGAACGGACGTCCCTCTCACGTGCACGATGACCGCTGACCCCCCCCCTTCCCACCCGCCCCGGCCACCAGTCGTGACCGCCGGGGACGGTCGAGTACGGCCGTTCCCACGGGAGCGGCCGCCGCCGGCCACGACGGGCCGACGCGTCGTGAGCGTCCCCCGGCCGACGGGAAACACAGCTCGCCGACGGACGGAGGGGAGGCTCGGCCGAGCGGGCGGTCACGGCGCTAACGGACAGCCGCCGACAACTCACTTAGACGGGGCGTGGGAGCGCGACGGCAGGGGACAGGCGGCAGGCGCATGTGGATGAGCCAGGCAAGAAGCAATTTAAAGATACACAATACGAAAATGATTAGCGTAACAGCATCGCATTACCAGCATCCGCCGCGGGGACCGCTGAAGCCGCAACATTGGCTGATGAATACCCCGGAATCACGCAGTTCGCCCTGCCATTACCCGGCGCTCTCCGGTCGGTGAGCGCTGAGCGGGTATCTCACGGGCGGCCCCGCCCTTCTGAACAGAGTCCGTGCGATCTGCCGGAGCCGGCCGGTGCTGATTCACCCCGGCAGGTCATCAATTGCCGACTGGAGACGCCCGCGTCCGGCGGGCCCATCACGGCGCGGCCGGCCGCTCCCGTCCCGTCCACGACGAGCGCGGCCGGTCGGCACGCCGCTCCCACGCGACCGGCCCGGTCACCGGTCACCGGAGGTCACCCGCAGTGGAGAGCTTCCTTACCAATCACCGAGTCACCTCCCCTCACCGGTCACCGGAGGTCACCCGCAGTGGAGAGCTCCCTTACCAATCACCGAGTCACCTCCCCTCACCGGTCACCGGAGGTCACCCGCAGTGGAGAGCTCCCTTACCAATCACCGAGTCACCTCCCCTCGGCGGTCACCGGAGGTCACCCGCAGTGGAGAGCTCCCTTACCAATCACCGAGTCACCTCCCCTCGGCGGTCACCGGAGGTCACCCGCAGTGGAGAGCTCCCTTACCAATCACCGAGTCACCCCTCCCTATACGGTCACCAGTAACTATCATCGACTCCTTCCCATTCCCGGTCATTGGCCGGATGGAAAAGGGAACTCGGCAAAAAGCTCAGGAAAGGCTCGCACGAGCTCTGAAACCTTTAAACTTCATGGGCAAGGCTAAAGACCTCAATCCCACCCTATCACCGATGTTCCCATTTCCTCTTCAGGCCGTCTTTCTTCTTATCCACGATTCCTCTTTCCCCAGTATGTAAATCGGCAAAACGGTTCTGAATCCAAACACTCAGGACGTCACTAGATCCGTTTAGGTGCAGAGACCCAGAGGTCGCCTGCCCACATGAACTCAGAGCCGGCGCGCGGAAGGGCTGCTGGGCGCGGAAGGGCTGCTCCGCCGGATGAAGGCGATACGGTGCCTGCCGCGGCGCCACCGGAACCGAATCGCGTCGAGACGGAGCGGCGCTAACTGCGACCCGGCGCTTCACAATGGGCAGGGGTGTGCGACAAACGGCGCAGCAATGACCGCGGCACATGCCGCCCGGCGCGGAGGTGTCTGGCCGAGACAGAAACAGCACCCGACTGTGAACGCACCCATACTTCGCGGCAACGTCAGGAGATATACTGGCATTGGTCAGGTCGATTGGCGGGTGGGTGTGCGTTTGTTGGAATCATCGAAAACGTCGCTGCTGCATTCGAGTAACAGGTGGCCAGTGGCGGCCAGCTGAGCAGAACCAGTCCAGATCAGGGCGAAGCAGACAGTTTTCTCTGGATCACTCTACAGTCGGTCAGGTGAGTAGCCCCCGCACCGCCCAGAGTCGGTGGCCGTCCACGGCACCGGCCGGTCGGTCGGTCGGTCGGTCGGTCGCGGCGCTCCCACCGGTCGTACGCCGCGGGCGGACCACTTCCCCGCGGCCGGCCGCAGCCGGCGCCCGGGGCCGGGACCCGTTCCCGGGCTCACGCCGGCCGAGTTCCTCCTCCGCCGCCTCCGTCACAGTCAGACGCCGGCCGACGCCTCCCGGCGGGCGCCTTCACACGTCCCCAGTGACAAACGGCGCACGACTGTCCAGTTTGGTCGCTGCATGAACGGCCCAAGTACCAGCGAACTAGGAATAAAGAGGTAGACCATTAAAGCACATGAGAATTGACCGCCGGGTAAATGCCAGGCAATGCCCTGATTCGGTGTCCAGCAAAACGAATAGATTCACAAAAATCACCTAGTTCTAAATAGATTCTCGTCTCTGCGATGGCATGCATACCAGCACATAGCGAATCCCTTTCCACGTCGAATCAAGAAAACACACCTGGAATGATAAGCCGATCACACCGATCACACCGGCTCTCTGAAGGAAAGTTCCGACTTTTCCATTCTGAATGAAAGCAGAACGAAGACCACCGCACTGTCAGTGTGGTGGATTTGGTTCTCGTTCGGGATCTCGTTTCTGCCGACGGCCGGCCCAGTCAGAGCTGTTGACCGATAAGCAGGTACCGATGCTCACTGGGGCATAGACTTTATAAAGTTACTGCTTCAGCTGAAAGAGTTGACCGAAAATGACACCGCATCACCGCCCGGAACAAACGACTGCCATTTGCCACTGGTAACATTGGATGTCAGAAGACAGTCACAGAGTATGGGAAAATCAGCTACGATAGCCCCAGCATGACACGGACCGGATCCAACGAGTTATTGCACCGTCATAAAACTCCAAGT